GGTAGACCTTACAATTGATTATCGGACTACCGACGTCATAGAATGCGGTGTTGCCTTTTTTACTTCATGGCTTGGAAGTAAAGGTGGCTGTGGTAGTTTACATCTTTAGGTATATAGTCGACTCCTGCTCAGTCGACACTTTATTAAGGTGAATGAAAACTTTAAAAACTAGTTCTAAAGTATTATTTTTTTAATTTTATCAGAAATATAATACTCTATTGTTACAATCTAAAGTAACCAGCAAGGAAACATATTTTCTTACGCACCGCTAATGATCGAATTCAAAATGTATGAGAATTCGAGATTGACATCTGATTTTGGATGAGTAATTTCATTTTTTGTTTTATAGATACATTTTCTCATGTTCCATAAGTTTATTCTTTTTTGTTTTTCTCCAAAATGACTTCTATTTTCCTCCACCAAAGTTTTATTTTCATGTAAGCTTCGTTTCCCCAATTGCTCGCTTTCGTTTTATCCTATTTTTTCCTTATATATGTCCGATTTTTTTCTTTTTCCTTATTCAGAATTTTTTGGCCATTACTGAATTATTAATATGTTTTAGCAATGAAGCAAAGATAAGGAAGTAAATAATTGATTGGAAGTGATAGAAGAAATAACATAGGTTTAAGATACGGACATTGAGTAGCTCAAACAAGCTAATAACTCACAGATACAGTTAATGAAAGTTAGAATAATCTTAAAACAGAGTACCACTTTTTAACAGTCGAGGAATAAGATAGTACAAAATATTCAAAAACTTTCAAAAAAAGTGCAATTTGAAACTAGAGAAGAAGAAAGGAAGTTTTGTTAGGATATAGAAAAGAAGTTGCTCATTTGATTAGTTGTTGAAAATGATTCAGACTAATACAGCGGCAATTGTAAGTCCCACAATAACAATCAAACCTTCCAAAAAATTGATAACCTACATTAAAAATCTCAAGAATTTTAATCATTTGTCAGTAGAAATAAGCAATATACTACTTAACAACACAGCAAAGAAAAACAATAAGCCACCACCAAAAGTATATCACGTAATTAATGAAGATGATCAAATTTTTATTAAATCTATTTCTGAAAGGCGTAAAAAGAGTGTTTTCACAGAGTGGCCTGTAACCAAAGGTTCTAATTTTAGTGGTACAGAAATATTACTTAGTTTGGAAGATTTACACTCGCTACACGCACATATTTTGAAAGTAAACAAGAATGCCGATACGAAAGTGTATCTGCATGAGATTCTGGAAGGGTCTGAGATCATTCTTCCTAAAAATGAAGAAATACAAAGGAACGAAGAACTAGATAGGCGGTGTAAACAATTACAAGCTGAGCAAGCCAACCGGGAATACTTTGATATGACAAAAAACGTGGACAGCAGAAGAAAAGTTTATCCTGAAGACACTATACGATACCAGTTGCAGCAAATGAATCGTCATTCGGTAGAAATCTTTCAGTTCGTCATGTCCGTTGCTGCTGGCTTCGCTTTCGGTTTTATTGGAGTGGAGATCTTAATTGGAAGTCTGGATTTTGGATTCAGGCTTGTACTTGGCATTATTTGTGCGATGACGGTGGCTCTAGCAGAACTTTATTTCCTAGCGAAGAAATTTAATGAGGAGCTACAATTTGAACACACCGTAGAACAGCATAATAAGAAGGGAATTAAACTATATTAGATATGGTTCTTGTCACCGACTTTTTTCAGTGTTTCATTTCTTTCTCATAGCTATACTAGATAATGACAGAAAAAATGAATGTCATATCCTGTGCGTTTATTTTCTAATTCTTTTACAAAGTCTTTTACCTTTTTCTCTATTGGATCTTTCACAATCAATGGGATGTCACAAAAGAGACAGAATGCAGAATTGAAAAGGCGAGATCAAGTTTTATCAAGATGAAGCACAAATTTACCAACCTTACCCAACAGAATCTTTTGACAACCATTAAGCACCATTGTTAAAATGTAACAAATTCCCGGCTTTACTGTATGATAAATATGCATGGACCATGATATAATACTGCTAAAACTAGCTATCTATCTTTAAAAAATTCTTCTATACAGGGTTGGCCACTCAATAGTCCACTCTGATATTTGGTAATATTCATAGCATTTTTTGAAAATAATAAAACATCGATTTTTATTCTAAATGGGTCATCTTTTAACAATATAGATCTTCCTTCGACTACCCCATCCCTTATTTGAAATAGGGAATATAACATGTGTGGCACATTGTTAGATATTTCGCTGGAGAATTCAGACATCCATATTTTTTTCCACGAGGAAACTAAGTTTTTTTTTTTTTTGATCAGTTGTTATCAACAGGTCCTCGTAGACACTTCGTCTCAGGACCATTTTACTCATGTAGAGTCATACGCCGCCATGTTACCTATCCAACGGTAACTTAACCATCACAAATTATAAATACTAATAATGTAAAACAACTTCAAATTTAAAACTTTTAAAGGGTTTTTACCCATATATTTTGGTGGCTACTAGCATGTACAACCGTTTGCACTGATGATGGATTGTTTAATCCGAAAACGTTTTGCAATGTGTTTGTGATAGCCCGTTTGAGGCATTTTTATATACCTTTTATAAAGGATTTTAAACAAATTTTTTTTTCATATTTTTTTGGTATTAACTCTATTCTTGTGAAAAAGTATCAGTTTATTGAAAGTGTTACACCTCTTAAAAACTAAACGTTACGTCTATGTTTTGCCGATGTCAATTTCAGGTCATGTCAAAAACTACATTAAAACAAAATTTGCAACATTAACAGGAAACTTTATTAAATGTAGCGTAAATAAAATTAACTAAATTTTAAATTAACATGTTCAAAAAAATATTCACCAACTTCTATACAATTATAAATTCGCTATTTTGGTGCATTTTAGGGGTTACTAAACTACATTCGTTATCTTTCGTTCTGCCATTGAAGCTGGAATGGTATTATAAATCTCTTACTTTTTAAATAATCCCATATTAAGAAGTTCGGGAGAGTTAAATCGGTAATCTTGTTCTGCATTTAGCATTTTAGCTTCATTGGAGGAACTAAGATAAAGAATAGTGCAGTAACCCCTAAAATGTTCTTCGTAATTTCAAATAGCGACTTTATAATTGTATGGATGTTGGTGGATATCATTTTTAAGATTTACGTAAATAGTTATAATTGATAAGTAAACTGTTTGGAATTATGAATTTATTAATTTAAAATATAGTTCATTTTACAGCGAAATACTTGTCTAAAAATATGCCACACATGGTATATTCCTTATTTAAAGGTTAGGGTACTGGAAGGGAAGGAATTGACAATTGACAGATATCTATATCGTTAAGAAATTATCCCTTTAGAATAATAGTCGAGCTGTTTTAACTTAAATGTTTTGTGTAAAACTTAATGAGATCGCTGATTAATATTCAATTTAAAATAACGAAAATTGCAATATGTGTAAATGGATATGTAAAATACAATATTGTAATTCAAATAGCAATTAGATGATTTATTAACTTATTGTCAATTCTATACAAGATTCACTTAAATTTTATGAATGTGTCCGATATTTAGACTGCTGGACAGCGGCGTCTGCCTCTGATGCACCGGCTAGGCTAGATTGGACGCGCAGAATGACTCATTCTCTCTCCTGTTGCCGGCCATAATGTAGCTTTGCCTATTTTAAATAATTTTAAACTGTTTGTCCTTGTGTAGTGTAAGGTACAGTTTTTTGTTTATGACCTATTCTATGATTGTTGGATAGGCCAAGATTGACGAAATGCCCCTGAAGATGCTTTAGGAAGCGAAAGTACTTGGGAAAGATTTAATTAATAAAACTGTGCTTGATATCTGCCTTTCATTTGATCAAAGTTCATATTATAATTAGCTAATATATTATAATTAAATAAAAGATTTAAAACTAAATAAGGTCATATCCTAAAAATAAAAATAAAATATTTAAATAAGTCTTGAACACTTTTCCAAACATTAACATTTTCACAAAATTAAATGAATATTGCCAAATTTCAGGGCGTACTCTTTTGAGTGACCAACCCTGTATACACGCTTATTCTCGTAAAAAAAACGGTACACCAATGGTAAATTAAAAACCTGCAAAGATATCCATTCCAGTCAACAATTTGAAAAGCAAATGCTCTCTCTTACGCTTTTATACATGTTCTAAACTATAACGTTTTTGTTGATATTCCCCGTGTAATTAAAATTGGAATAAATTTTATTTATACTATTTATTTTTAAATAAATAAATTTATTCAATTAATATTATAGTAAAATATGAATTTAATTTCATATAATTACAAATTTGGCTAATGTAGTCCTGGCAACTGTCAAAGTGTCACAAATTGCTGGCAATAATTCTAGAAATACATAAAACACTTGGTCCAGGAAAATAAGTTTTTCTTAGGACATCTCAATAGCCAATTTTTACCGTTATTCTTTAGTTTTTTTTTATGGGAAGGAGAAGGTAAATCTTCTTAAGACCGTACCAGGCCGTGTCACGTTAGGATGATCTGTTGGATTCAGGGTGGAGTGGCTTATCCCCAGAGAAGTGCTCACAAGATAAACTCATAGCTCCCTGTTTGCCAACTAAATTCCACCCCATTAACCGGACTACTCATACGGTGGGTCTTCTACAGACCGGTGCATCACATATGATGTGCCTATTTCTCTCTCTCCACACCACTCCCTCTCTCTCTCTCTTTACTATAGGTAGAGGTAGTGCAAACACTATGGCCACGGCGTAGTAGACGAAATTTGGTTTACAATATAACCTTTCTGTCTTTACGTGAATTTTGACTCGGCCTTTGCGCAGCTCCATGGTGTTTGCACTATCTCTATATGAAAAACTCATCAAATATCTGGCTATTGTGATGTCCTGAACGCGATTAAATTTGGCTTATATCCCTGAAGTAACTAGAATTCGTCCCGATGGAAATAAGTCTCTGAAAAGTACCATATCTACATAATATTCACAGGATCACATTAATGTTTTTCCAGTAAACAATAACAATGTCCGCACAAGACAATGTGACCACCCCCGAGGAATTCGTAGAACACGAAAACGAAAGCAGTTACAAGCCTCCACCAGAGAAAACCATCGAAGAAATTCTACAGATCGATCAGGAGGATGAAAGTTTGAGGAAATACAAAGAGGCCTTACTCGGTCAAGCACAAACTGGACCTGTTGTAGTGGGTAAGTTATCACTTTAAAAAAAACCTGTCACATTTCACATATTTTTAATAAGAATAGTATTAAGGGAATTGCATATGGGAATAAGCCACAATTGATTGTAATGATAATTACATTTTACCTTAAAAATTTGACTGTTCGATGTCTACTCCGGAAATCGTTCTCAAAAAAGATATTTAAATTTTGTTGAGAAATGGTGTATAACCGCCAAGATTGTTGACAAGGTTATGTCATATCACAAAATGCGAGGTTGTGGAGGATTCACTTGTGGCCACGGTGTTATAGGGCAACAGCCATATTTTGCTGAAAAGATGTGAGGGAGAATGTTTTGCTCCATTTAAATTTAATTTCAAACTCTGATTATTCTAAGTGTTCGGTATTGTTCGTATGTGCTGTAAACACTTGTATCTCTGTAAAATGTTCCTGTTTAGTGAACGTATGTTGTGTACGATAGACGATGATGCGTATAAAGGATTTCTTAGTCCGCCATTATTGGTATATTCTTGTGACTTCTTTTAGTATTGACAACCAAACCCTGCTACATTCTGCTGATGGGTATGCTAAGAGTAAGTCTATTTATCAATATTATTTTCTGCCAAGGACAAAACATTGTTTATTTTTAGTATTATACTTATGAAAATACTTACCAAATACCACCTCCTTCTGTGCTTTTGTGTGTATTCCTGTCTTATTTTGCTTCTTTCTTTTCATTCTTACATTTTCCACTTGTTGATTCCATTGTCGTAATCTTCCTGCTTGCCAAGAGTCTCAAAAGTTGCTTTTTCATTACTGAAAACCTTCTGACTGTTCAGAGAATATACATTCAGATAGAAGAGATCTCATTTTATATGAAATATTTCATATAAAATTTTATATGAAATATTTCATATAAAATGACATTTTTTCATGATCTATTTTTAAACTGTTCTAGTTTTAAACAGCTATAGAGAACATGTAACGTTGTCAGCGTGTATAATTCAATTTAAAAATATCTGCAATGTTGTAGTTTATATATTTCTCCAACGTTAGAGAATGTCCGAGATCAACAATGTCGTCACACATTAAGGCAATGTAACTGGCAACAACGCCATTGTTCAGGTAGTTCTTTTATTGTATGTTATCTGTAATTCAGTTTCATAAGTCCCATAGTATTTAGGCAAAAGTTTCCGAAGCTAGTGTGTACAGAGCAATTAAATCAGATGATGAAAAAAAACTATAATAATACTTTGAAAATTGAGACATGAGGGAGGAAACAAATAAAATTGGATGATACAACCAAAGAGGCCATACGTCGTGCAGTACATTTTAAATTTTATTTCAAAAATGAATTACCAACTATAATAAATGCTTCTTCTCTTCATTCTAATGAAATCATTACAAAAATATCAAGACGTGTTTTTTACGTCATCATCATCATCAATCAGCCAATCGCGTCCACTGCTGGACATAGGCCTCCCTCAGTTCTTTCCAGTGTTCTCTACACTGGGCCGCTTGTATCCAGTTTCCCGCTACACGTTTAATGTCATCGGTCCATCTAGTCGGTGGTCGTCCTCGGCTTCTTTTATAATTTCTGGGCCTCCATTCCATAATACGTCTTGTCCACCGTCCATCTTGTGTTCTGACTAAGTGCCCTGTCCAGTTCCACTTAAGCGTCGTGGTTCTTTCGATGACGTCTTGAACTCCTGATCTTCGCCTGATTTGTTGGTTTGTTATGTGGTCTCGAAGGCTCACGTTCAGCATTGCACGTTTTTTACGTACTTTACGTGAAATGAACTTTAGGTACTTAAGGGGACAGTCTCATGCGATTAAAAAAAAGACACATTTTAAAATTAAAGCAGAAAAAAAACTATAATATTTATTAACATAATTCCTTCTGTAGATGATTAAGTAAGTCTTGAAGTACATAAAAAAAATTTTTAATAGCGATTTTAACTTCATTGGTCTCCTGTAGATGGTGTGTAGTAAAAAGTGCGTTTTTGGTGGTAAGACACTTTGTGAGTCACCTGTAACAGATATTCAAAAAATTCAAAATGGGTTGTATTCGTGAGACACAAAACTGAATGATAAACCTTTAAAATATGCAAATTGTATTATTTTGAAGAGTTTATACGAATTTTTTCAAAAAATTCGAAAAATTGCTATATTTTTCGGTGAATTTACCCATATATAATAAAAGGGGTGGTGGTTTTTAAATATTTTAAACGTTGATCATCTAGTCTTTTGTATATACAATCAAAAAATTTTTGGTTTTTTAAAATCGGTTAAGAAGGTTCGGAGAAAAGTGTCTGACCAGTTTGAAAATGTTACTTTTGAGAAAAAAGCATTTAAAGTTTTTTTTACATAATTTTCGTGAATTAAAGGCTAATAACTTTATACTCACGTTTAATCGGCCATTCCTGGTGAATATTGAGGTCCCTCTTCATCCAACAGTTGTTGTAAATGGCTTTGTAAAGCTTTTTTCTTTTTGATTTGATGTTTTATAATTAATTCATTAGTTCGACTAGAGTCTCAATTCACGCCGCGATGCTGCCAGTGTAAGTGTAAAAACGGAACACACCTAGATCGCTTGTCAATTCAACGAAAACGTACTTATTTATAAATGTAGATATGAAAATATTTTATAACTATAAAAATGGTTATGTTTTATTGCCAAAACGGCTTGAAAAAAAAGTTGATTACTAAAATTAAAAATAAAAAGGAATTTTAAAAATAAAATAATTATATTACACTCTTTTTAATTTGAAATTATAAACAATATTTGGAATAATAAATGTATTTCAGTATAAATTTTATAACTTAAATAATACCTAATGAACACAAACAAAATTGATGTTAATAAAACATTATTTATTATCTGCACAAAACCGGACTTTCAGGAAAAATCGGTAGACGGAGCAACACTGTCGGCGTGCCATATACGCTACTACAAACCGCTGAGAAGTAATAGTAATCCAGTGGAACAAATAAATTAGTTATAAAACATCGCGACAGAGAATCTTAGTATTTGTAAAAAATCCTATGTTCCGGATTTAAAATTCCAAATGTGTAAAGTAACTGCCAAACGTTATACAGATATACATACTATATAAAAATTAATCACTAATACATACCCAACGTATATACAACATATATACAAAAGCAAGAACAGCTGGAGCCTCGCGCTCGCCGCGCGGAGAGAAACCGGTTTTCATACGTGCGTAGCTGACATTAATAAAATAACTATAACTTATTCGCTCCGTGCGTGACTGACGCGACACCTACTGCCTTCATCTGACAATTTTGGAGTCCCAATTTTTAGGTTAAACGTATGACATATGTTTGACTTTGTTAAATACATGCGACATTGACAATTATTAATAAATTAGTTTTTAACTATATTTTTTCAGTTTAATTACAAAAAAATGTAGTATTAAAAACTGGGTTTCTCAAAATTCATCATAATATATCTTTTCAACTCCAAACGGAAAAGAAAGGGAAAAATATAATACTGGCAAATCAAGTTTTTCACGCAAAAGAGCATATAATTAAAAACAATAATAGTAAAAGTTATGATATAAAAGCTAAAGTCATCTGAAGTTAGCTTGAAGCCTTATGAAATATCATTCAAGGTAAATTATTTAAATTTTTCCTATTTCAATTGCATAAAAATGAAATTATGTCATATTTACTTTTTCATATTAATAGCACGAATTCATCTTTTTCTTTTGGGAACCTATAAAAACTACACTCACTGTTTTTGCTATTATTAGCACAATTAAATACGCAACATGTATTTTCACACATTTTTGATAAAATTTATGCGTAAAAATATTTTGTCCAATATTCCAATTTTGTCATATTTCGCCGCTACGCACGCTGGCATCGTTTCAATGTACCCCTACCATGGTCACGCACGGAGCGAATATTCTAGTGGGAATTTCTTTTTAAAATTTTAGGAGGGAGTTTTTGAATGTAAATGGAAGCGATTTATGTAAACAAAAATTTTTTGATTTTTTGAAAGTTTCGCATGAGACTGTCCCCTTAAAGAAAAAGAGGAATAGTACCCTTATTGAAAAAGAAGCAATCATTTTATGGTGCAGAAAGTATCTGAAACAAATAACACAATTTCGAAGAGATGGAGAAAAACATATATAGATGAGACATGGTTAAATGAAGGACATACTGTGACAAAAATTTGGCAGGATTTAAATGTGAAAGACATACGACAAGCTTTCCAAGATGGTTTGTCAACAGGTTGGATCCAGAGTTTTTACCTAACAAAAGCCCCATTTTGAAAGGCAAAACACCTTATTATTAGCCATCTTGGTAGCTACTCAGGATTTGTTGAATAAAGTTTAAATGCATTTGTTTTTAAAAAGACTGGAGATTACCATGAGGAAATGGATGCAGATCATTATGAAAAATGGTTTTCAGATATTCTGTTAAAAATCGAACCAAGATATGTTATTGTTAGGGATAACCTTCCATATCGCTGCCGGCCTGTAGAACAATTATCAATCACCAAATGGAGAAAGCTGATTTTAGATTGGCCTACTAAAAAAATATTAAATTCAATAAACCAATTTTGAAAATCGATTTACGATTTACTAAACTTAGTAATAGCACGGTATCATACAGATAAACATATTAAATGTGTAGTAAATGAAAGGGCGCGAGAACGAGGCGTAATTATAGTTCGATTGCCGCCATACCATTGTGAGTTAAACCCAATAGAACTCACATATATGGGCTCAAAAAACAATGTTACTTTCAAATTAAATCATCTAAAAATTCTATTTAATAGTGCCCTCAGCAATGTGACCTCACGTCGTGGATAAAATTTATCGAGCAGGAAGTGAAAGAATAGCAAAATATTTGGAAACTTGATAAATTTATTATGAAACCAATAGTTGTGGATCTAGGCGAAGATACTGCTGATGAATCTGAAGATGACCTAGATGACTTAGATTAGATTATATATGTAAAGGTGAACCATTTATTACTAGTACTGTTTTGTACTAGTCCACGGTACCAACCGTCCCTTGGCATTGACATTTGTAGACTTTAAAAAGGCGTTTGATACAGTGGAACTACCGTCCATCTTAAGAGCACTACAAGATTGCAGGATCGACCACAGATATTGTAATATAAATAAAAATATATATGAAAATGCCACAACAACCATAAGTCAATATTCTGCAACTAATAAAATAAAGATAAAAAGGGGAGTCAGGCAAGGTGATACCATGTCACCAAAGCTGTTCATTACCGTTCTTGAGTATGCATTTAAAAGACTAACATGGCAACAGAAAGGAATATCCATCGATGGAGAAAGATTAAACCATCTACGTTTTGCGGACGATATCGTGCTTCTGTCAGATAATCTGGGAGAGATCAAAGACATGCTCCAAGAACTGAATGACACACTACAAGAAACTGGGCTGGAGATAAATTTTGAGAAAACCAAAATGATGACCAATATGGTTCCCAGCGAAGAGATACAGATCAATAACAACAAGGTAGAATTAATCGATAAATACACATACTTGGGTCATGAAATTAGAATAACCAGAGACAACCAAACCTGCGAGCTAAATAGACGAATCACGTTGGGATGGGCGGCATATGGACGGATGAGACATTTTTAAAACAAATATCCCAATTCACCTGAAAAGGAAGGCATTTAACCAATGCATCTTACCAGTCTTGACCTACCGAGCAGAGACCTTAACTTTAACGAAAGCTACTGCCGAAAAACTGAGGGTAACACAAAGGCGAATGGAGAGATCAATGCTGGGCCTGACCTTGAAAGATCGCGTAAGAAATGAGGAGATACGCCGACGAACTGGCGTAGACGATATTATACTGCGAATCAATAAACAAAAGTGGAGGTGGGTTGGACATGTTGCTAGAATGGAAGACGGAAGATGGACGAAGAGATTATTGGAGTGGAGACCAAGAGCCGACAAGCGAAGTCGAGGCAGACCACCCACCCGATGGACCGACGACCTAAAGAGAATAGAAACAAACTGGATTGCAGCAGCTAGAGATAGAGAGAACTGGAGACGTTTGGGGGAGGCCTATATCCAACAATGGATGTGAAAATTCGGCTGGATGATGATGACTGTTTTGTACCAAGAATTGTTAAGTTATTCAGTTTTACCTGTTCTAAAAGTTATTAGACGACTCTTTTCTAATCCCATGTTATTAAATCTCATTTGACAATAGCAATTAAATGTAATCCTTGAATCAGTCATAAGTTTGTTAATTGGAACGGATAAAAAAAATATATGTTTAACAAGGATTAGTTTTCTTTATCAAAGGCATCTCTATAAAATAAGAAAATTTTTATGACAGTCGATTCATTATAAAATTCTGATTATTTTTTTAATAATAACCGCACTCCTATGATTTGTCGATTTCCTTTCCCTCAGACCCGCAAAGGTCTACATTGAAAATATGAATCACTCCTACAATTGTGGCACTATGGTATATGATTGCTTTTAAGCCCAAATTTTCTATCTACGATCTTATTAAAACCATCATTTTCCTTACAACCTTTTCAGAACCAGACAACCCAAAGAAAGTTATAGTGAAAAGACTGGTGCTAGTAGCGGCCGATAGACCCGAATTGGCCCTAGATCTTACTGGTGATTTGTCAAAGCTCAAAAAAGAAACGTTCACCATTAAAGAGGGAGTTTCATACAAAATCAGGATTGAATTTCTTGTCCAAAGAGAAATCGTACACGGATTGAAGTATGTTCAGAAGACGAGTAAAATGGGAATTACTGGTAAGTCTCAAAATCGCCATAAACAATCACGTTGTGCCTATATACAGAGTGGCCCAAAAGTCTGGAAACAGCTAATTATCTCGTAAAATGCTAATCATAATTGTACAAAATTTGAGGTACACCTATTTTGGGATACGGAAATTCCATATTTGATATTTGCCATGTTGCCAAATTTTCCGTTTCTCTTATATTATTAGTAACTTTGGTTTTTCAAATACATCACCCTGTATATTCAGTCATTATTGGAATCTCCTATTCAATACGAGTTCAACCATATGTAACATTTATGCTTTTATGTAATCTGGAAGGTCATAAATACATAAAACCGAAGTCGGGCAACGCCTAAATTGTTTCAATAAATTTTTTAATATTATTTTCAAATACATTAAAACGTAACAATTGATAGTTTAGAACATTTTTTAACATAGTAGTTACGTTATTAAGTGTTCAAAATGTGCTCAATTTGTGAGTTGACAGCACCCAAATCGATGGTAGAAGGCGTCTACCACATTTCTCCATGATTGTCTAGAAATTATTCGAGATTCATTGATAATTCGTTGCCTTAGTTCCGCAAGACTTGCTGGTTAAGTTTTGTAAACTGAATTTTTCAAGTATCCCTAATAAAAATAATCTTTAGGACTGAAATCGGGTGAACGTGGAGGCCATTCAATTCTACCTTGTCTACCAATTTACCGTCCAGGAAATATCTCATCTAAATATTGCCGAACATTTACACCAACTATCTGACGTTAAATTTCTTTCGACAAAAAATGACCCAATTGAATAAGTAACTATTATATCTGACCATACATTTAATTTTTGTGGTCTTTGAGTATGGTTTTCACGCATTCAGTCTTCATTGTGAATTTACGTCACACCAGTACCTTAAATTGTGTCGATTTACACTTCCACACAGTGTAAAAGTTGCTTCATCGGAAAAACATATTCTGTTAACGAAATTTTAATAATTTTCAATTTTATCCATCATTACCTCAGTAAACTCTAATCTACGACCAAAGTCATCTTCACTTAATTCTTGCAATAAGTTAATTTTGTATGATTTAAATTTATTTTTACGTAATAAACGTAAGACTGAAGAATGACCTACATCATGTACTTGTGCAACCTTGCCTGGGAATGTATGTGGATCTTCAACAAAACTTTGCTTATATCTGAAGTTTTGTTGTCATTGATAACTCGTTTCGATCGACCTGATCGGTATCTATCTTTTACTTCTCCAGATTCCTCAAATCGCCTTACAGTTTTTTGTACCGTCGTCTTATGAATAGGAGAACGGTTTAGAGAACGGCATTTTAGAGCAACAATTTAAATTGCAGAACTTTTTTAACCACAACTACTGTCAATTTTAGTTCATAATTTAAATGGTGAACAAATGTCAAAATCACAGCATTCTCCATTTAAATATTTAAATTTATTAAAATCTACATATTTTGCACTGTTTTGTGTATTTAAGATCCTGCAGACTACATAAAATCAAGTGAACATATGGTTGAATTCGTATTGAATAGCTGAACTCGTGTTAAATTCACACTGAATGCGTGAAAGCCATACTCAAAGACCTTCTTTTTCTTTCAGTGCCCTGTCCGATTATCGAACGTTGGCGATCATATTGGCAATAATAACCATATTCACGGCGGCTCTAAATAAATTAAAGGTGGTTTCTTGATACCATTCTCGGAGATTTCGTAGCCAGGATGTTCTTCGTCGGCCTGGGCTTCTCCTTCCGTCGATCTTACCCTGTATTACGAGGTGTAGAAGGTTATAGATCTCTGGATGTCTCATTACATGACCGAAATATTGTAACTTCCGAATTTTTATCGTTTTTGTTATTTCTGTGCTCTTTTTCATTCGATGTAAAACTATTTCATTTCTTATTCGATCAACCCGAAACCACAAAGACCACAAAAATTAAATGTACGGTCAGTTATAGTAGGTACTTATTTAATTGGGCCATTTTTTATCGAAAGAAATTTAACGTCAGATAGTTGGTGTAAATGTTCGGTGTTATTTAGATGAGATATTTCCCGAACGATAAATTGGTAGACAAGGTAGAATTGAATGGCCTCCACGTTCACCCGATCTCGATCCTAAAGATTATTTTTATTAGAGATACTTGAAAAATTCAGTTTACAAAACTTAACCAGCAAGTCTTGCATAGCTAAGGCAATGAATTATCGATGAATCTCGAATAATTTCTAGACAATCATGGAGAAATGTGGTAGACGCATTCTACCATCGATTAAAGTGCAGTCAACTCACAAATGGAGCACATTTTAAACACTTAATAACGTAACTAATAAAAAATATTCTAAACTATCAATTGTTACGTTTTAATGTATTTGAAAATAAATAATATTAAAAAATGTATTGAAACAATTTAGGCGTTGTCAGACTTCTGTTTTATGTATTTAAGGCCTTCCAGACTACATAAAATCATAAGTGTTACATATGGTTGAACTCGCATTTAATAGGAGATTAAAATAATGACTGAATATACAAGGTGATGCATTTGAAAAACCAAAGTTACTAGTAATATAAGAGAAACTGAAAATCTGGCAACATTGCAAATACAAAATATGGAATCTCCGTATCCCAAATAGGCGTATCTCAAATTTTGAATAATTATGTCTAGTAATTTACGAGATAATTAGCCGTTTCCAGACTTTTGGGCCACTCTGTAGATAACTTTATAAAAAGCAATCCGATATACAAGAATTTAGTCGTTATTTAGTAGTTTTTTTTAATGGTATAAGTTAGCAAGTCAACACTTAAGGGTCAACTAAAAAAAAAAGGGAATTACAGATTAAGCCTATCTAAAGTGTATTGTATAATTCAGGAGACATAAATTTAATTGCTTTGTTTTTAAAAACAACGTTCTGTAAAGTAATAACACAAAAATTACTTGATGATCATAGAGAAACTATGGTATGCAACTCGATGTACAAGAATAATTAGCGAGTAAAATAGAGGGAGAAATAGAGAATTGTAGAGTAGAACAAGTAGAACGTCAGCATTCTACTCATTAAATTCTATCACGTCACTATATCCAGTGTTAAATTTAAATTGGTCAAATACGGTGAAGTGAATATATTTTTTTGTGAGATCTTTCAGTGTTCCGATAAAATAGGGAACCATGTTCTTTAAAATGAATCACCTTGTTGGATTTACGATTTTTAAATTACCTAAATAATTCTGATTATTTTTCAAACAAACTTTCTCTATTATTTTAACGATTTCCGACCTAAAATAATACACAAGAAATTTCATTTGCGTTCAACATATTCATTCATTCATTCGCGTTTATTATTTATTCCAAAATAAAAATTATTCGTTCTTCGCAATTTTATACTTAAATTTACATTAATTACCAATTTTAGTCGATAAAATGACACACATGGTTGGATCCTTCGCTCCCAAGACTGAAATACAATCCTACACCACTGCTGCCGAGGACGCGCCCTCGGGAATGGTTGCAAGAGGAACGTACACAGTCCATTCGTTATTTACAGATGACGACAAGAACGAGCATTTGAAATGGGAGTGGACTTTCGAGATAAAAAAAGACTGGAAAGATTAAGGTAAGTCCAAAAGTACAATCTATTTAACTGTGTTTTTTGTGTATTTCTACACTTTATTTGGTATTGACAGAGAGTTATTAACTACAATTATGTGTGTAAAGATTTTCTATTGGGACCGTGCAAGTTCGGAACAGCGACACCTGGTGTCGTAAATCAGCAAAATTTACTGCGCTTTCATGTTAGATCGAGGTTACCGGATAACTGTCAAGGACGTAGCCCCAAAAAAGAATAAGAAGAAAAAGTAAGATTGAGGTTATGTCGGTATGTTATTAAAAGGTAAACGTTGTATGTAGTGTAAATACAAATAAATATATTCTTAAATTACAGCATTACTGTTAATATGGATGCAATAATAAAAACTGGATTTAAAAAAGTAAATCACCAAATAACTTTTCAACTAAGCACTGAGTCAAAGAGAAAAACTTTAGTAGTGGCAAATGTCAAAAATAATGGAAGAATTATGTGGAAGAATTAAGAAAAATAAATTACCATAAATAATGCTAAGGCATAAATTAGCAGGTTAAGCCCATGATATCATCATATTGGTTTGAACAATTAAATCTTTTCCTGTAAACTTTTGGACAGCGAATATATCTTAATGCATCTTCAGAAAAACTTGAACTTGATGCATTTTTGTAAACTTCAAAAAAATAAAATTTAAACATTAAACTTGATTTTTGGGTTAAAATGAACTCTAAGTGAGTATTATGAAACTAAAATTTACACTTAAAAGTGAACTTTTATTATATATTTCAAACTGACTTTAAAATCGGGCGCAAGAATAATGCATAATTAAGGTTATGTCACTTATGCTTTTTTTATGATATAAATCCACTTTTCTCTTTGTAGTAGCTTTGTGCTTCGAAGTTGGAAACGAATAAAACTTAAATTGACAATTTTTTGTTGTATTTTTATAATTTATAACACAACATTTCCTAAATCTCATTTTCTTCAGTGACAGAAAGTTTAAATAAACAAACGAATATGAAATATGACAATTGACAATATGAATTTATGAAATGTGCAGTAAAAAATGCAAGATTTCTTCGCTACTCGCGCACGATCGTTTCTCGTATCCCTCCAAGTACTTGCACGTCGCCAATAGACTTTGTACAAACAATTACATCCAAGTTTTTCTTTCGCCCTCTGTAAAAGATCATGGTATGCGTGATTTTTCGATGAGGAGACAAACTAGACCAATTAGAGAGAGAAGTAGAAATTCCAAATTACCAAATGAAAAATGTATTAGTATGTATTACTGTTATACTGTATATTAATTAGCCTAATGTCTATTAAGAAGTTCCAATTTCCATCTTGGGATTTGTTGCGTTCTGCACATACGATGATGTATATATAACAATTGAGACCATCAGAAAGGGAGGAGAATGTCTATGTTCAATAAAAGACTATAAGCGAACATCTTTAAACCAAGTGACAGAAAAAAGAATACTATATATACATTTACTTCTAAATTATTAAAATTTATAAAATTATAATATACCTGACAAAGAAAGATACCAAAAGACAATTATTTAAAGTTAAAAATAATGATAGCTTATACAAGCGACAAAGTATTTAAAATAGTGTTGCCCCAAATGCAAGAACAAGACGAGACTTAGACAGTCTTGGTCTTGCGCCAATACACCTGGTCTTGGTTTTGGTATTGCACTCCCGGTCTTGGTCTTGCAGCAAGAGTCTTGCAGTTACCCATTAGCCTATTGCTATTTATTAAACGTTACTTTAGAACTTAGAACAACGTAACAGAGCAAGTACATTTTAAGCTTGAATTAACATAGCCATAATAAAGACCAACCAAATTAATAAATGTCTAAACAACTGACACCGGATAGGGTTTGAAGCCACGATCTAAGCGATCCGTGCCTATGCCCTAACTAACTCAGCGATCTAACATGCCCCACGGAAGTCAATCTGTTTCTTAATAAACGTTTTCATTTAATCAGCTTACATGGGCTAAAACATGGTTAAAAAACGAAAAAAAAAACAAATTAATGACATAAACTTGACTGTATTTTAAAAAACATCTGTCTAGAAAGGGATTGATGGACCCCCCACCATATATGAAGTGGAAATCTTAAAAAAGATTGGTATGTGGCAAAAAATCCACATACATGTATCAAGGGCACATATTCTTTAGGTGATAAGATAACAAACTATAATCCACTTATTAAAACAACATAAATGTTGTTAACAATCTTAGTTCTACTTTTATATAAAAAACGAACTGAATGATTTTGAGCAACACTAATTTAAAACAATAAGACCAAGCATATTATAGATATATATATATATATATATATATATATATATATATATATATATTATATATATATATATATATATATATATATATACATACGTATAACATTTATACTAAACCAATATAAAGAATAGATTATGTTGCATCAAATGGAACTGCTTGTCTGCGTGAATTTTGTTACAGAATGAAGTTACCATAATGTACCAAAATAATCTGAGTAATGACCTATTATTTGCTACTTAAATACGATACAAAGAAATATAATGGTTTTATCATACAAAACGTTTAACTATTATAATAATGATGTTAAATAATATGCAATCGAAAACGAAGTAATTAAATATTATATGATATTTAAAGGTAATGTTTATAAACACATGTTAATAACAATTAGCAACAATGACAAATATACTATAAAGTTTATAATATTAAAACGAAAGTAAAATGCTCAAAAATAAAGTTCAATTAAAAGGTTCAAATATTGACATAATATGAAATAATTAGCACCACGTAAACGTGTCGCTAAGACACGACTGTCTTGTTTGGCCGATGTTTACTCGTTTACTGAATGATGGAGCACCTTCCACCCCTTATTAAGACACGAATGTTTTGTTTGGCGGAGCCGAGCCGATTGATTGCTGATTGAAACGGCCGTTGGGTAAAAGTTGCTTTTTACAAGTTTATGCTACGGGTCTGCGATAATTACCAAAGCGATCAGCAATTTTAACGAAAGACAGTCATTTTTCTATGGCTCTTTGTTAAGATACAATGTATGAATGGAAGTCCCAATTCATTGTGATATTGTATAACAACCATTTATTGTTTGATAGCGTCTGTATTTGTGTACGCACATTCTTGGCTAACTATATGGGGAGAATCAATCAATGTTTATATACATTGCAAAACTGCAACAGCGTTTTTTGTGAAGAAAGATCGTTTCGTAGAAATTATGACCATTTTTTAAACGAAATATTTTAATTCGGCCTGAAATATTTAGTTTTTAGTTTAGCTCTACAATTTTAGTGCATATTAGTCATAAAAAATTAATATAGAAATTGTACGCCTAAAGAATGGACACGCGCAGTGGGACAAATTGCTGAAAACGTGGCCAAAAGTCTAAATGTGTATCAATTTGGATGTGAATGTTTGCTATAAGAATTTCTTGTCATTTTGATGTCAAAATTGAAAAATTCAAAATGCCCGATTCAATATGGCGGACCAAATTTCATATATTTGCGGGAACTGCGGTTTCATACGAACTCTGGGAATTATGATCATAGGAGGAACAAATATTCCACTGGCACTCATGCAGATTACAGCAGTAGAAAGTTTCCCTCATTCTGCAGATGTTAGGGTACGGACCTGTTTTTTACCCTTGACAGCAATCACTTTTGATGGACGACCTTCAACTGTTGTAATCCCGGTTTCGTCAACGTTAAAAATACGGGATAGTGGAAAGTTAATTTTTTCTTGAAGAGGCTCCACAATGTCAAAAAATGATGAAACTGCTTCCTTGTTAAAACCTCGAGCAAGTGCAACTTATAATGCTTCAGGCAAACGGAGCGAAAGTTTATTACCGCTTTTTACAAGCGGTAAGCATTGAAAAACAAAGTACATACATGAGAAACGTTATCCGTGTTTTATATCTGATATATCACTGTAGAGAAAAAGTTGGTCAACGTTTAAAGGTGCACTCTCTTTTTTCGCTAAGCTGGTTCCATGCCTGACTAACAAAAACATGCCATGTTAAATCTATTCTGCAACTTAAAAATGAATCGTCCGGCTGTATCACCGAAATTCAATAATGATTAGACAACTTCTCGTAGACAACTTACTAGTCGAAAGTCTCTATAAAAAATTTTGTTTCGAGGACTTTTCGCCACGTTTTCAACATTGCCATTCGCACTGTGCCACGTGACAGTGCTTTATTGCTCTCTCTTAATGCCAAATTAAGTTTAGTACTATTTTTATTTTTTTAGATCTACATTTATTGTTTATGTACAAATTATTCTTTATATGTTTCAGTTTCCTCAGGGTAAGCAGTCAGTCAGGGTATTTTTTAAATCCTAAGCCTTTTACCCGCCACAAAAACTATTTTATATAAGTATAACCTTTTTGAAAGAAATTTACCAAAAAAACCTTTTTGAACTTTTTGCTGATGTATTAAAAATGAGTCAGTATTTTGCCTTAACTGTAAATTGTGTTATGAATATAATCCGGTCTGTCTATCCAACAAGGTAATCAAATAGTCCTTTATATTTTTAAGTTTATTTTTATTTTATATTTATAAAAAGTTCTGTTTAATTATTCATTATTTATTGGAAGTCGTAAGTGGCTATAGTGCTTAACCTTGTGGCTTTGTAAATTCCTCAGGTTGTTAATAAAATGTATAGACATTATTTCGTGTCTTTTTGTATAGAAATCAAACCTATCAATTAAATTGTTTCATAATAAATTTATTTTTTATGCTTGCATCACTCAGATTATGTAATTAGTATTCCACACCATTCAGATAACCGAACCATCAAAAGAAACGACTTGCTCCACCTCTAACATATTTAATTATATTTTTAAATGGAAACCGGAAACAGAAAAACCACATCCAGGTAACATTTAATGAGGAATTGAGTACTTCATAGGAATCGTTACTTTATTTAAAACTTCAAATTAACATGAATGCGTTCCCATTATACAAATGGATGGCCAACAGATACCCGAATTCTCAAACGAAACGACCTTGCTCCACTCCTAAAATATTTTTGAGTATGGGCAATTCAAAATGGAAAAAATACATTCAGGAATTAATTAGTGATGTAATTAGAGTATTTTTAAACTTAATTTGAATTATCATTGTATTGAAAACTTCAAATTAAAATGGAAAAATCTCGCTTACATGACAATTTTATATTATAAACAAAAGTATGTCGTACGATTCGGTAATCGATGATGTTGGTCTTACTCTTGAGTAGAATCAGTGAAGTAAAATAATTGAAAGAACGGATTCCTAGGAAATAAGCAAATCATCATAAGAAACAAATTTCTCCACCTCTAACATATTTAAAATATTTTTAAGCATGGGAAATTCAAAATCGAAAAACTACATCCAGGAATTATTTAGCGATTGAATTAAAGTTTTAACCTGTATTAGATTCATTACTGAAATTAAAGCTTTGAATTAAGATGGAGAAGTCATCATTACACAAGAATTTGATAGTATAAACAAAAATGTGTTGCAAGATTCAATATTCGTAAGTGCTGATCTTGAATCAAAAAATAATTGAACAAAAATGGAGGTCAATCAGATAATCTGAAAATCAGATAAAAAATGACGATTTACTTCACCCTTATCATATTTATAGTTTTTTTGAACTTGCAAAATTGGAAATAAAAGACTACAACCAGAAATGATTTAGTTTTAATGTCATTTGAAGATAATTTAACTGAACATTGATATATATTTAACGGAAAAGAGTAAATAAACAGAACTGTATGTTGTTGCTCACATTATTTAAGTATTATTTTTTGTATTTATTTTTTAAGTTGTGTATAATACTTACATTTTTATATTAGTTTGGTATTTCGCGTTTAGTTGAATTTGGAGCTTTGAAAAACGTACGAATTTTAACATTACTTCTTATGACATCGCTAAAAACGATATACAATTCTTTTTTGAGTTATTTGGTAGTGGAATTGGAATTGTCAAATTTTGTAGTGGAAAAAGTAGTAACTTACTCTTAAAGGTATCACTACCGTGATTATATCGTACCTATTCATACACATTATACCAAATACTAAACTCTCGCGAAAAGAATTGTACTTTAGCAATGGTTACTGAGTTGAACAGACAGTTGAGCAATTGGTTTCGATGTAAAATGCTATAATTATTTTGTTTGTAAGATGTGAATGAAGATATTATACTAAACATATTTAAGGAACACTGTCACAAACAATAACAGATACTTGAAGGTGCTTTTCCTGCCTAGAATTACTAGTTTGGTATTCACTGCTGATTGTTACAGATCATCTATACTTTATCCAGTATTTTTGGTGATTGTATGGTTGGACACCAAAAAAAATTGGCCATAGAAAAACATCAATGTTGTAGATTTTTTTTATCGAAACAATTATTGAATAAAGTAGTTGAGTTATTTTAAATACTTAGTCAATTACTCATAAATTCCTACGCACATCATACGATTTGACGTTATTTTCACACAGCCTTGCCATGTTGTGGATTCAGTAGATAATGTAGGAAATTGTCATAATGAAAATGTAAGGTTAGGTAAACTTAAAAATATTTTGATGAATTTTATTTTATTGGGAATATTAAGTCTAAATAAGTAAAATAATTTTAAATTACAGTTGGTTGTGTTGTGATGGCGTTAATACACAAACGGATAACGTATGGATGACTTAGTGCAATCACCTGTACATTCTTAATTCTGCCTGCCCTGTTTAGCATAGAAAGATCCTTCTTAATTTATTTGTGGATCAAAAGAGTGAAATCAAAAGCAATATCATTGTTGCTAGTTTTAAGTTCAGTTAGGTAGGATTTTAAAATTTATTTTGTATATTATTAAACCCTGTGTGCTTTAAACTGACTGTGGACTCGCGTGTTCTATTTGCTGATAGGTGAGGGTACTCTACGACAGATGCGCATGCTTAAAGTGTACAAATCTGACAAACTGTCAAGAATTTTACAGTTTGTGGTATATATGAGGTTAGTTCCTGGTTGATCAAAATCATATCAGAATAGTGTACTGTTTTAGAGATGGTTAATTCAAATTTGAAGGTTCCTAGAGTTCCAGATATTTCTAGTATATCTGAAACATAATACAAATGTTGGTTACTATTTAGTGATCGACGTACAAACTTATAGTACTCTGCAAAATGCAATTCTTTCAACTTCTATAATAGTACGTCATTAAAAGATTCTTAAATTGTATCCATGCACTACTAAACATCGTTGCCAAATATCCTAAATAGTAAAAAATCTGAAGAAAACAGGATGGAAATGTTTTCAAGGACAAAAATGATAACTTATATTTTGCAGTATTTATAGATTATAGCATCTGCTTGGTCTCGTTCTAAAAGCTACACAATAGAATCGTAGAATTGAGAGTTTTATTACTATATAAATATATTATTGACGATGTAGAGAAGAAGTTGTGGGAAAAAACAAAATGTTATACACGAAACCCATAAAAACTATATTTTTATATATTAAAATATGTAATTCCAATAAAAAGCGATATGAAATATCACAATATTGGCAAATAGAACTTAAAATTACAGATGAGAACACTCGGTTGATGTATTTACCATTGTCAATTTTTGCTTGGCATTAAAGTGCTTTATAGTATATATGTTTACCTTTTGTTTCGCAATCCTTTTAATAAATGTGTTATTTACATGATGTAGTGTTTTATTTATCTATTTATCTTTTAGTGAGGAACAAATTGTTAGAATGTGTGGGATCAGCAAAAAAAGAAGTATGCTAAACCTAAATATACCCTAGACTGCGGTCTAAGCGACCACTCTTCACAATGGGAGAGGAAAGTCAAAAGTTCTTTTCGACTTTATATAAGATAACTAAATTTGTTTTATCATCATTCTGGCTTTAAAACTCTGCGTGGGTCCTAGTGTCCTCAAGAATTTCTCTCCAGTCATCCCTATCCATCGCCTTCTTCCGCGAAGCACGTATTCCATATTTCTCATGTATTCATCGATGTTATCAAGAAACCTTGTTCTGGGTCTTCTACTCTGGTCAATGGGTCTACCAAGGAGCGTTTTTCTAGCTGGGTCATTTTGTTCCATCCGTATTACATGCCCTACCCACCTCAAACGTCCCATCTTCATAAATGTTTTACCATATCAATACTATAGGTAGGTGTTCAATCATCTGCTCAAAATACTCTTCGAAAATATCAGCTGTCATCTCCTCGTGATAGTCTGTTGTGCATTTGGACTGAAATTCCAACAAACCATGCTTAACAAATCCTTTTTCACTGCCAATGTGCGAAATTATTAATCTACTGCCTTTACCAGAAGGTGGGGAGATACCAGTAGACCAACCTTCCATAAAGGCTTGCCTGGAGCTTAATATATTTTTATCTGGCCAAATTTTTTTAGAGTATGACCTGAGTTTACCCACGTTTCATCCTGGTAGAAGTATGGCCTTCCTTCAGCCCGGAATTTTCGTATGGAACTTAGATAATTTCTTCTCCAACATATTATCTCCTCCTGGTCAATCAAAAGTGATTTTCGGTCTGATTTCTCCCACCGGAAATTTAATTCTTTTAAAACTTGCAACAATTTAGTTCATCCGATATGAGGCAAATCCGGGTCGTCTCTAACTTCTTATAAAATTTTGTTTAGGTTTGGTATTTCTTTTTTGAAAAAAAATCCATGAATTTTCCTTCGAATACCATTTTTAGTAAATTCTTCAATTTCAATAGGCTTTTTTCCTTTCTTATAAGTGTTCGTTTGTGTTTGGGTTAGCTATACCGTGTTTTTTTCTTTCTGATAGGAACCTATATACAGATTGAACGAAATAAATTCGGAACATAGGAATATAATGTATTTCGGCTCAATTCTGCTGTAGGTGGTTGGCCAACAAAATATTGTCAAATAATTATATTATAAAAATCCAATACTTCACCGGGCTGCTGGATTCTGAACTCATAAAAATTGAAAGCTACACATAAATCTACGATCTATGCTGTCAAACCAGTTATAGTCCAGGAAATGAAGCATTTCACCTCGCAATTTTTTCGTGCTCCCTGAATTGACTTGAAATTTAACAGAAGGTAGGTAATAGCCTAAGGATCAAAATCTATATCGAACCAAAGTGCGCCAAAGCCTAGGGGGTGGTTGCCACCCCATCTCCGGGGTGAAATTTTTTTTACGTTTTAACTACAGGTTTCGATTAAAAAAGTGATTCTAAACAAAAAATGTGCTATACATTTTTTTTATAAAATGATATTTTTCAAGTTATTCGCGATTGAAAGTAATAACTTTTAGACGAAAAAATCCACGTTTTTAATCGATTTTTCGCGAATAATTCGAAAATGGTGCATTTTATCAAAAAAATTGTAGAGAACAAATTTGTAGCTTTTAAAAAGACAAATACAATTCATTTTTTAAAATGTTTTTGGGATATAATAGGAACCGAAATGCGGCCTATCAATGTTCAGCGGTTTTCTTCAAATGCCAAATTTGAAAGATTCAAAATCAAATATCGGGAAAATGATGCATTTTGGAAGAAAACTCACAAAACCTTTTTTAAAGAGCATAAATAGACCTATCATAAAAAAGACTCTAGCTCAAAAATTGAGTGAGTTATGATGAAAATAAGGTCAATACCTCATTTTTTACGAAAAAATCGATGAAAACATCCCCCTAACCACCACCATAATTAAAATCGATCTTCACCCTTTTGAAATTCCCTTTGTACATGTATTGTTAATACGTCCAAGAAGTTTGACCCATTTAAAATGCTTTGTGTTAGAAAAAGTACCGCTTAAAGCGAGAAACGATTTACAATTTCATATTTTTTACCCTTCTTTTTTTAAATATGCCCGAAAATACTGAATATATGAAAAAAATACAAAGAACCAAATTGTAGCTTTTTTAATGACTAAAATTATCCTTCATTTAGATTTGTTGTACAATGAATATTTGGCGAGATATAGCCGTTTTAAAGCATCGATTTACGATCAAGCACCATCTTTTTCGAGCCCTTTAAACTCACCCCATTTAAAAACCAAGAGTTCCAAAAAGATTTAATTCACAGATTCTTGTAGCTCTTAAAAACCTCTACAAATCGTTTTTGAAGAAACACTCTATCGTTAAAAATTAAAGGAAATACGTTAAAAAAAATCAGTGAATTTTTTCCGGAAAATTCTATTAGTATAGTACAGTACATTTCGGATCATAATAATCTACAAAACCGGTATATTAGCTAGTGGGGCGTTATACATTCGAAATTTTAAGCGTTCTTATTTTGAAATCCCATACAACAGAATAAAACATCTGCTCATATGTCTATGGCTTGGCAATGAAAATATTAGAGCAACAGATTGGGGATGGTATTCCAAAGATGGTTTGTTATTACCCGTATGGATGAACAAACAACCTGCACTCGATGAACTTTTGAAAATTATTTTTTGGCAATGGAAAAAAGGATGCGGTGTTTCATGTGGGTGCACAAAAGTTGGTTTATACTGTAACTCTACTTGTTCTGGGTGCTCAGGTGAAGGGTGCAATAATAGTCCACCAATAATTGAAGATGAGGATGACATAGATCACGATGAAGATGTAATTGATGACGAATAAAATTAATATTACAATTGTTTTACCTACAAATGTTAATATTTTCAACTATTTATGTAAATGTATAAGAATTTTTTTGTATTTAATTCTACTTTTTTCAATTTATATCTTATAAATTAGTTTATAAAAACTGCAATGTTGTAAAGGGTGATTTTCAAAAGTTGAAAAGTTGCAAAATTTTGGCAAAAAATTGTTTTCACCTATAGCACTCATAACAATTGATTTTTAAGGGTTGAAAATGTATGAATTTTTATTTTAAAGTATAAAAAAATCACTATTTAACTAATCCAAACCAAATTTCACTCATCTTAAGATTTATAATATTATTTTACAATTTTTAAAAATTAGGGGTAGTTTTCACCCCTAAGAACAATCAGGGTTCATCGGCATGACATAAACTATAAAGCAGAGGGTGAGTTGAGCTTAATTCCAAATTTTTATGCAAATCGTTCCAAGGTGAAATCATTTTCTAGCATTACTAATTTTTTTATATTAATCTCTAATAAGGGTCGCTTTTTAAGGGTTGAAATATGATGGAACTTTATTCAAAAGCACAAAACTATCATTATTTAATTAATTCAAACCAAATTTTACCCATATTCAGGTTTAATATGTTATTTTCGATATAGATTTTGATCCTTGGGCTATCACCTACCTTCTGTTAAAATTTGAACTGGATACATGCAGGACGAAAAAAATTGCGAGGTTTTAACTATTTTCGAGCTACATTTCCTGAACTATAATCGTTTCCTTAGACAAACCCGTCTTATGCAAAGAACATTATTGTGAGACAGGTAGTTGAACGATATTTTATACAATGTCTATACCCAGGTATGGATTTATTTTTGTCCGAGTTTTATATTGGTCCACTATTTCAAATGCAGTTCAAACACACATGTATTAAATTGTATGTTCCGTTTTAATTTGGTTCAATCTGTATAGTTGACTCCCCTACGCCAGTCATGTTGGCAAAACTTTCGACTATGTTGCCAACAGTCACTGAGGAATTCCATTCTAATTATCTTACTTAGTACCTTCGGATATGAATTCCAGGTTTTCTAGTACAGTGATTAAACGCGAAGATTAGTATTTACATATCCAAAGAGATAAGGTATTCTTATTTACAAAATTGTTAATGGTTAAATTCTTTTTTTTTATTATTAATATAATATAATAACCAACATTAGCCGCGAACGTTTTATTTGTTTTTTGCTAAATATATTAGTTTTAAAACAGTATTAATATTGATAATGAATAAATACCTCAGAAACGCCTATGATGATACAAATTTTACGACCGTTTTATGACTTTAAGGCACATTTCGTGCTCTCAACAATTTGTGAACGGATTATAAGATTATTTGGTTATCTATTACATGCAGGGAAGTTCCATGTAGCTGTAAATTTAGTTGGGGAGACCTGTATTTTTTACTAAACTAGCTCACGGCTGATTTAGGTGATAAAAATTTGAATCCTACTCTTGCTGACCAATTATTGATACTCTTTAGGGTGTTTTGAAATAAGGCACATGGCTTAGTTATGCTCCTGCCTTGACAAAATAGTAAGAGCTCAGCGTAAATAGCGTGCTGGACTGGTGCTTTATCATAGAGCATATGTCATTAATACATATCAAAAATAATGTGGTGCTAAGAACAGAAGCTTGTGGTAGCCCATTCTTTACAGCTTGTTGTGGTGCAGACATTTTGCCATTTATAGATACTGGAAACGATCTATCCGGTAAAAAGTTATTAATAATGGTCGATATGTTACTTCTAATTTGTGGTCATTAAGTTTTGCAAGAATGACTGATTTTGAAGTGTTATCGAAAGCACTTTTTATGTCTAAAGCAACGGCTCTTAGCTCATTCTTGTTTTCCATGTTCGTGAGCAATTTCAGACTGTAGTGTAAACAGGTTGCCTATAGTTCATCAATTTTCTCTAAATCCTGACTGAAATTGATTTAATAATTTGTGCCGTACCAGTTGAAGCGATTATTTATTATTTTTTACTTGACTTTACCTAATAGATAAGTTAAGTAAGAAAAATGTCGAAATGAACTAGGTAAGCTAAGGAGAAGTCATTCTTTTTAATTGGTAACATATTGGATTTCCTCCATAGCCTGGGAAACTGTTGATTCGTCCATAATATGTTGTATATATCTAATAATTTTGTTAATGTATCTGAGTGTAATTTTTTAATAAATATTGGGGGAATGTCATCTAGTCCGGCAGCAGAATCTTTTAGAAAGTTGTCAACATCGTAGAATTCATCTAGAGTAAACCGTAGGCTAAGAGGATCGGGGTTAGGTGAGAAGGACTGGGGAGGGTGCTGTTCGTCTTGTATCTGTACATAGCTAATTCTGTTTTTTTAATTTGTCCAAAAAATATTGTGCGAAGACATCAGAAATTTTCTAGTCATCTGTGATATTATTTTGATAAAGAGGATAAGAGCGGGTATTTTATATGTTGTGTTGCGTCCATTAATTGGTTTTTATTTTGTTCCATAATTGAGTTGGAGGTGTCAGCGATTATATTACTGGAGAATTTAATCCAGGAATCCCGTTTATTTTCTTTTGGTACTCGCTGTGATTTGGCCTTTAGTCTCTTGAAATTAATTAAATCCTCTACAAATAGTTTTCTGCGAAATTTGTTTAAAGCCTTCTTACTAGCTTTTAGATGTAGATTGCAGGGTAGATTCCACCATGGTACTGATTTTTTGCAAAGATTGATGGTGTACTTTCCAATGTATTCTTATCTTGCTTGTAGTATACATTTAGTAAATTGTTCAATGTTATGAAAAACAATTTCCTTAACTTGATCCCTAACAGCTGCGCTGAATATTTCTCAATTTGCTTTTAGTAAAAGACAGTTTAACTTCGTTATTGGTGAAGAAGGGAAGTGATTAAGTACCAACATAAAGACTATCTAGCATATACCAGGTAAGAAGAGAAGCTGTTTTAGGATCACTAATGCTCAGGTCAATTGAAGAGAAGGAACAAGACTTGGTATGAAAATATGTGCTACTTCCTGTATTTAAAAGGTCATGATTAATAATAATATCCTCAATAATTTTCGCCATACCAAATGTATTTTTAGATCCCCATATAGTACTATGGGCGTTAAAATCTAAAACAAGTATGAATGTTTGAAAATCATTAAAAATAATCCTTTTAACTGTTTTTTTAATAAGAAACGTTTTATAGACAAAAAATATTTTTTTCGATCATGATTGTTTAAATTTAACAAAGCAAAATTAGCTGTACTTCTTTATGGATAGATCATCATCAGATACTCCTCATATACGTTTGAGAAACTCTAAATAAGTACCTGTATAAGATTTTTTTTAACTTTTTTTCTTCCTTGAATGGTGTCTAAGAAAAGAAACTAATATTTTGGTGAGCTTTTATATTAGGCAACCAGTTTTTTACTTATTTTCTGTGTTGGTCTTCTGCTGTTGACTTAACTGTATATTGTTCTAATGTTTTTCTTCCATACTATTATTTTCAGTTATTTAGTGAAATATTTGCATTGTACGGCAAATATTCATTCAGACTATGCAGATATGTATAGAGGGATTCAAGTGTTATGGAACACTATATATTTTGAAATAAAAACTATTTAAACTGTTTTTTAGGTTTAATTAAAAAAGATTTACATTTCAACAATTATAATATCTATGCTGTTAAATCAATCACCAATCATCTGCTTCAATATCTTCTACTATATCCTTGTCTCCATCATCTTCTGGCTCGACAGGAGCAGATGAAGCTACCTTTTTATGCTTCTTTCCTCCTCTTTTACCTCGCTTTCGTTTACCACCTTCTTCTTCATCTTCTTCAGAATCGCTGGGGAACAGTTCAACAGGTCCTTCAGGTTTCTTTCCTAAAAAAATTTTTAAAGGTAATTATGTAATCAGTATGTTTAAAAAAAAATGACTACCAAATGCCCTTTATTCAATAGCCAATAACACTCACCATCTTTTTTAGTCCTCTTTAGTGTTGGCAAATTATAATCAGCCAATTCATCGTTACTAGTCAGTTGTTTGTTCTTCTTAACTATCCTTAATTTATCCCAACTCTCGTAGTAAACCGTCAGCGGTGGTTTCTTTTCTTTAATCTGTGCTTCCCACCCTTCTATTTGTTTGAAATCATTTATGTTTATATTTAATTTTGTCCTTTCATTTTCTATGTATCTTGAATTTTGTTCAATTTTTTCTAACACTTGCTTCAGCTTTCTGGAATAGTTTGGGTTTTTACATGATTTCAGGAACTTTTTGATCTAAAAAAAATAGTAGTTAAAAAATCAAATCTAAGAGCAATTTATATGGTCATAAAAGTAATGACTGTAACCCTACACTCAAAAATTAAAACCTAATTCAAACATACCAATTAATGGTATATTTTAATTAATATTCAAGATTTTCAATTTCTATACACATATATATTTAAAGCAAAATACACATACCTGCAAAATTGAAATTAAATTCATATCTGGAAAAGCAAGAGTATGTGATTGGGCACTTAGATATTCCAACAACATCCCATAGATTGTTTCTATAACCATATCTTTGGAACCATTTTCTTGTAGTTGTGATTTTGACAGTCTCAGCAGGCAAGTGAAATGTATTGGTTTCATTGACACTTTTTTGTGTTTTTTATTGAAGTCAAAGGATGTCAACACCTAAAAACATGTTCACAATAAAATAATTAAATTTTTCTGGTGTAAACAATCTCTATAAAGACTGTTGTAATATTCTGCTATAAAAACTGTACTATCATGTATTTCCAATAGAGTATAAATACTACAAAATGAAAATTAGCAGATAATTTAAAAGGAAAATTCAATAACCTAAAAGTAGTTTGTGTTGAGCTGCAAATACTTGGTAAAACACTGGAGAATGCTATATTTAACTTACCTCTAACAAAAACGGCAGTACAGGAATAAAAACTCCTGTTTCTTTTGACAAATCCATTAAAATTTGAACTATATGAAACCTTAAAGGGTAGTATTGTGCAGTGGGAATTAATTTGATGGTTCCTATACAAATCTGCACCAAAGGATACACCAGCTGCTGCATTATCTTCTTGTTGTAAGTCACTGCTAGCAGATTACCCCAGAGCTTCAGAGAATTTACAAATTGCCAATTGTACACAGCTTGGATATTTTCTTTCTTATTAACAGTTATGGCATTTCGTAGATGTATAGCTAACTGCCTAATGTACAAAAACACATGTTGATAGGCAAAATTCACATCCAAAGCAAACATTTCAACTAAAGATCTTCTCATGAAATTAATCACAGGCAAGCCCTTGAAGCTGACAAATTTTGAGTTCTTGACATAAGTCATGTACATTGATTTTAAAACTGTGTCCAAAATGGTGGATTGCTGGTTGTTGGTTATTCTTAAAATGCAGAAGAATGCTACTACTCGGACAGAGTCTTCTGTGGTTCCCCATAAAGTCACTAGTCTCTTCACTATGGATTTGGTTATATGTGGGAATGAAGTTAAAAGTGGTGACATATAATGCAGATGCTTTAGAAGCACTGTTTGTATATTTGATGAAGTAACACCTTGCAGAAGCTAGAAATATATAAAAAAAAAAGCATTCAATATTACTTATACTATAATGAAATAAAATAATATTATATAAGACAAATTATAGGCCCAAGAAACAAATAGGCATGCATTGATATTAGATCCTCAATTCATTGTTGTCTTTGCAGTATGATCATTTTGTATTATATAAATGATAAATGTGAGAATGAGGACTATTATGGTAGAAATAATTAATTATAAAAGAAGCAGTGCCAAGAACTATACCTTATTCCATTAAGCGGTGCAGGGCATATAAACAACCATAAATTTAACAGATAATTGTTAAAGATGTTCCAAATGAGTCTACTCGTTCCGATAAGTAACAGTATAATTATGACACTTTATTATTTTTTTTCTTTTCTCAAATATTCGTGTTTATTGCATAGTAAATAAATTAATGTTATCACTGAATACAAAGTAAGTGAAAAAATACTCCGATTTATAAAATTAATGAATATTTTATGCATAAATGCAAGTAACAGTTCTTCAAAAATATTTAAAAACTAACCGGAATGTCCATCTTTATTTCGTCTGGCGATGTTATCGGCGGTTCATACCGGTTCGGACACGTTTTAATGTTTATATTTTCCTGCACCGCTTAATGAATTTTACTATAGAAGAAATTCAGAAAAACACTTCAAACTAGGCAACTAAGAGATGATATAACAGATATAAACCAAAAATGCAGAGATGAACACAATATATAGCACAACTTTTTGAAGACAAAGAGAGAACAGAAGCACCAAAAGAATTTAAGGATGATACTGGGCCTGGCATTATACAAGAAGAAATTGAATATGCAATGAAACCAGCCAAAGGTGGTGAATCTCCCGGGCCAGATGAAGTTACTAACGAATTACTTAAAATTGTGAATACTGAATCTATTGATCTTCTTTTGGATCTATTCAATACCATATATAGAACAGGTATAATACCTAAAGAATGGCTCCAATCAACATTCATACTGCTTCCCAAAAAAGCCAATGCAAAGGAGTGCAATGAACATCGCACCATAGGCTTAATTAGTCATGTCTTGAAATTGTTTTTAAAAGTAATTCACAATAGAATACATAAGAAATTAGATGAAGGCATAAGTAATACACAATTGGGATTTAGGAAAGGACTAAGAACATGAGATGCACTGTTTGCAGTAAGTGTTCTTTCGCAGAGATGCTTAGATATTAATCGGGAAGTATATGCCTGTTTCATTGATTTTGAGAAGGCATTTGACAGAGTGCAGCATACTCGGCTTAAAGAAATTTTATTAAATAAAAACATAGACAGTAGAGACATTAAAATCATATGTAACCTCTATTGGAACCAAACAGCAAAAGTGAAAGTTGAAAATGAACTGACAGAGGATATCCAGATTCGCCGTAGGGTCCACCAAGGGTGTATTTTATCACCCTTGTTATTCAATTTATACAATGAAGCCATCTCAGAATTAGCGCTTGCCAAGATCAGTGAGGGCATTATAATAAACGGTGAGCAACTTAATAACATAAGATATGCTGATGACACCGTCCTTCTGGCAGGAACACTAGACGAACTGCAACACCTTGCTGAACAACTAAATATATATTGCAACGATTATGGACTAAAGATAAATTTGAAGAAAACCAAGTTCATAGTATTTACAAAAGCACAAAATATCAAAGTTAAGCTAGTACTAGATAATACAGAAATTGAACAAATATCTTCGTACAAATACCTTGGAGCATGGATCACAGAAGATACTGATCAGACAAAAGAAATAAGATGCAGCATTGAAATTGCCCAGTCAACTTTTAATAGAATAAGAAAACTTTTTTGTAATCGCGATATCAATATATCGTTACAGATAAGAATGCTTTGATGTTATATTTTCCCTACCCCTTTTGTATGGGGTTGAAGCTTGGACACTTAAAAAATCCAACATTAAAAACCTAGAAAAATTCAAAATGTGGTGTTAGCAATGTATTTTGAAAATATCATGGATGGATCGCAAAACAAACGAACAAGTTCTCAAACAACTAGGAAAACAAAGCGAAGTTTTAAATTCCATAAAAATCAGGAAATCAGAATACCTCAGGCACATCATAAGAGGTGAAAAATACAAACTACTAAGGAAAATAATGCAGGGTAAAATCAAAAGTAGAAGAAACATAGGAAGACGTAAAATCTCGTAGCTACACAATATCTGTGAATGGTTTGGATGTAGTTCAATTGAACTATTCAGGTGCGTAACCAACAAAATTATAATTGCCAAAATGATTTCCAATCTCTGATAGGAGTGGAACTTGAAGAAGAAAGATGGTAGAAGAAGATGGTAGAATTCTAAGAACATTTTGCATCATATCAATAACATACCTTTAATATATCCGTAAAGTACCCCTTCAAATACTTTTTTATCTTTATAAATTTCTTGCATTTATGTGGAGGTTGCTTGGATTTAGGTTTTAGACCTAAAAATCTTCGTACTGCTGGACCCAATTCTAACACACAGAGCTGGATAACTCCATTGAAAACAGCAGAACCTAAAATAGAGTATTTGTACCTATCTTTTCATTAAAAATATCTGAAGTTTACCTTCAACTTTATAGTCAATAGGTTCTTGATCTTCTTCTTCACTTACAACAGTTCTTAGGGCAGCATGGAAGGCATGTATTACTGCAATTATTGTTTTGTTACTCTTATCTGTCTGAATTTCTGTTTGCCAATGTTTTAATAATTTAAGAGTTATCACTCTTGAATCTTTTGGCTTATCATCATCTGCATCCTAAAAAGGCAAAAAATAAATGCATATGGATACTACAGAAAAACAAAAAAATATATATAGAAAGGAAAAAGATAATATACCTGCAATATTTTCTGCATAAAAAATAAAAACTTACCTCAAAATCACTCTCATCACTTGCTACTGACAATTTATCACTAGGCATATGAACATCATCATCATCATCAGCTTCCTTTTCTTCGCCTACTTCTGCATCTTCCTCGTCTGATACATTAAATTCTAGCAATTTCTTGTCATTCTCTTGCAAAAACTTGTAAAATTCTGGGTCACTTTCTTTTAATTTTTCTAGATCCCTCTTATGTTTTTCTGCTGAATCTTCTTCATCACTTTCTTCTATGTTCTCCTGATCATCATTTATGGTTGCATCTGAAATGTAGTACAGTACATAAAAATTGTTAATTTGTCTATGGTCTATACACAATACACAGATAAAAATAACATCACGTCATATAACAACAAGTCTTAGCTACTAATTCCTGTCTTCTATTGGCATATGTACATGTATAGAACCATTTTAGAAAATTCCACAAGGCTCCAATATGAGTAATATACATTAATGGTATAACAAATCAAGGCAGATCAAATTCCCCAAAAGATAAAACACACAAACGACATTTAATAATCATATACCAGTCAGGAGTCAGGTGGGAAATAAAATTTCTTTGATAAATATTGTTGGGCTAAAATATAGTGTGTAATATTTACCTTGATCACTGTCACTTAACGTTTCATCCATTTCCCAAATATTGCAATCGTCCGAATCTTCTTCAAGCTCTTGATCTAAATTTTTTTCAAGGTGTTTAGATAGTTTCTGTTTAATTTTTAACTTCTCTTTGGATTTCTTTGAATTCCCTATCACTTTCTTGGCAGATTTCTTTGTTTTGGGATTTTTCACGATCTTTTTTTGTTCCATTGTTTTCTTTTTCAGTTTTAATGCAGCCATTATTTATAAAAGGGTTTAAAAAGAATATATTTTAACATATGAATTATACAAAATTTGTATTTAAAACACAAACATATAACCTATATTTATCTGTCAATTACCACATGCTATATACCGGTGTGAAGTTAGCTATGTAAGCTATTTTCATAGGAAAGACTCTACTGAGTGAGTTGCAGCTATTGGAAAATAAGCAATAAACAAACGTAAAATAAAATAGTAAATAAATAAAATAATAAAGCATAAATAATATGCCGACTTTGATTTTGACAAACGGATAGATAATTCTACATAATCACAACAGTGACTAGCCAAGCAATAATTTAAGGGCAACTTAAAAAATGTTTACGAGCCTGAGGGACAAAAAAATCCATCCAATAAAATTATGCAGCTTTTGTTACTTTTTTATCGCAGAATTTGTATGTACACATCAAAAACAAACACACGTATTTAACGGCACCTGAATCAGTATTTACGAGACTATTGAGCAAAACACTTATTTGTCCAATGAAATAACGCACTTTTTGATTGTAAAAGCGTCGGAAGTTTTATCGTTTTGCGTTAAAATGTATTTAATTGTGTTAATTTATGTGATATTTTGTTGAATGTATTAATTGTATAACTCGTATAAAATCGCAGTGTTATTTTGAACAAAAGCTTCATCAGCATATGGATGTAAGATTGAATTCCGTCAGGCAAATCGGTAAAAGTAATTTTTATGTATTCAATAGTATTATCTTTTTTAATTTTCGATTTTTAGAATATATTTATAGGATTTTGTAAAGCAAAATTAATGTTTTGTTCTTTTTGCAGTACAAATGGTACCTTTTGCCGGTAAGTAACGAACAAATTAAGGAATTGGATTTATGGTGCTGGTTTCTATATTAATATGATTTCAATGTATGTTCTAGAAAATTAACTTCATGTAAATGTTACACTACAAATATTGAGTATAGAGTATACACCAATAGGTACCAATAGGTATTAATATAAGGTTGAATGCTCGAATAAATAAACTTTGATAAAATAAAAGGCAGATATCGAGCACAGTTTTATTAATTAAATCTTGCCCAAGTACTTTCGCTTCCTAGAGCATCTTCAGGGGCATTTCGTCAATTGTGGTCTATCCAACAAGAATAAAATGTTATAAACATAAAATTAAACATCACACTTCACTACACAAGGACAAACACTTTAAAATTTTTAAAATAGGCGAAGCTACATTATGTATGGAAACCGGAGACAGAATGATCGGGAGAAGTGACCGGGGGCCATTCTGTCTCCGGTTTCCATAAATAATGTAGCTTCGCCTATTTTAAAAATTTTAAAGTGTTTGTTCTTGTGTAGTGCAATGTGATGTCACTATTTGGGTAATAGGTATTTGCCCAAAATAGTCAATAAAATATTCATTGCGTTTGAGTATTTGTTTTTTGTTTTGAAATTTCGTTTTTACCCAATAAACAGAATAGATCTCAGTTCACGATTGGCATGCTGTTTTAAGTGCTTTATAATAAATATAATATAAAGTATTTTGTAAAATATAATTTTAAATTTTATATACAATTGTATATATATATTTTTTAATTGTATATATATTTTAACTACAATTGTATAATACAATTATTGTAAATTATATTTGAAAAGTAAACTGAACACACGCAATAAAAAACAAGTGCTTTCGTTAATATTCGGGAATATTCGTGGTAGAAGTTACTAAAAAAGCTATCTTCACATCAGTTTAATTTTAATTTTCGTTTAAGTTGTCACACATGTACGTCACTAAATGTCACCATGTGCAATGTTTGAAAATAGTAAATTTCAGTGCTAAGCCCATTTCATTTTTTATTTTTACCATTAGTAATATATAGTTTCCAACCCTAATGTTCTATGTCCTTAAACTTTTCCGTTTTAGCCACCTGCCATTCCCAACTGTTAACTATTCACAATATCCTAACAAGAAACTCTTTAACCTACTAAAGAACATGCCCAAAGAACCTATTCACATACATGAAGCCCAAAAGCAGAGAAAAAAGATCAAAGAAAAACTCTCGAAATATGTTCCCGGTAAAGTTACCTTGCAGGTACTTGGTACAGGAGCACAAGGTGCTCCCAGAGCTTTGTATATGTTTTCAGATCAAAGCAGGTAAAGTACTCTCCAGATACAAGTTTTATTGATTTAAGTATACTTTAACACGCTTTTAGATATTTGTTTAATTGCGGAGAAGGGACTCAAAGACTGGCTCATGAACACAAAATGAAGTTAGCTAAGTTGGAGCATATTTTTGTTACCCAACCAGTGTGGAACAATATTGGTGGTTTGCCTGGTATTGCCTTAACAATACAAGATGTTGGGGTCCCTGAGATAACACTGCATGGACCCCCAGGACTGGTAAGTACTAAGCAATTAGTTGCAATTACCATTTATTTTACTAAAAAGTGACAAAATTGGTTCATATATTAAGTATTGCAAAATGTTGTGAAAAAAGTAGAAGATACTAATACCATTGGTATTGGAATTGAATAAAATTTATGATGCAATATTTGATAATTTTCTTTTCAATATTTCTTATTTTGTTATTTTTTTTATAAATCTTATATGAATTTATTTTTGATGGTAAAGGTTTGTTTTTTTTTGTCACTTAAACCCTATGTTACAAGAAATGACTGATGTATTTGTATTATACAATGTTATTCCTCTTTTGATACTTTGACAGCACTGTAGGACTCTGTGGCGCACCCAGGGGGGTGGGTTTCTGGGTTAAAACCATCGAGCAAAAAGACAAAAGAGGAAATCTAATCCTTATGAAAAGGAGTCCAAAAAAGTGGCCTGTGATGGCGGCCATATCCGGAAATGCGAATGCGCCAAATTTAAATTTTCCAACACTTATTAACAGTAGCTATATAATATTTTTCAGAATGTGTCTTAGACGAGAAAGTTTCAATTAATTATTAAAGGTAATAGTCTAAAATGCGACACAATTGTTAAAAAACTTCAATGCAAATAAGATTTCATGTGACATTTGGGACAAACAATAACATAACCCAACTAAATTTGATGTCAAACAAGGAGAGAGAGTCTCTTTCCTTGTTTAATGTGGCCTCTAAAGATCGCACTTCCTGTCTAACAATATTTTTGCTCCCACTACCTTTACATTCCCTCTTTTGTCTTTTTGCTCGATGGTTAAAACCTCCCAGGACATATAAAGTAAAAAATATATAAAGATTACTCTGCCATAGCATGGGAATCCCCATAGGAAATGACATATTGTTCTCCCTGATGACCAAGTCGTTCTTACTCAGGATTTGTATGATCTAGAATTTATGATAAAACTGTATATACAGAGAATATGTAAAATTGGTGTTACAAGTCAGCATGAAGAAAACAGAATATTTGGTTATCAATTCAGATGCAAGGTTTGAAGTGCTGATAAATGAGGACGTGGAAATCAAATGAGTAAAAAGATTTAGGTGCACTCAGTGCAAAGAACGGCTTGGGAGAAACCGAAATTCAACACCGAATTAATCAAGGAGGTAAAATTGTAGGATGTCTGAACTCCTTGTGGTGGGATCACAACATTTCCAAAAGGAACAAAAAACAATAGGGCAAACCATGGTTGAATCAGTTCTTTGTTATGGCTCTGAAGTATGGACAATTAATACAGACTTGAAGAGAAGCCTGTTGGCAGTTGAAATGGATTATTTGAGAAGAAGTGCTAGAACATCAAGGTAGGAAAGGAAGACCAACGAGTCTATAAGAAATAACATGAATGCTACAGAAACAGTCATTGACAGAATAGAAAGAAGAGGTTCAAAATGGTTTGAACACATTGAGAATGCCTGACAAAAGTTGGCCCCTAAAACTTTACAAATGGAAGCCTCCTGGAAGAAGAAAAAGAGGTAGACCTCATGGAATGAAGGAATTAGAAGGGAGATGGAATCAAGAGGTTTGGAGGAGGAGCATGCCTTAGACCGGGAGGATTGGTGGGAATACGGTGATAGCTGTTTCCAAAATGTGTTGTATTCACAAGTTGGATTAATGTCAAATGTCAATAAAACTGCAAACTGCGTCCAAGTAAGAGAGGATGGTTTTAGTTGGTGAGCAGGATAATAGATACATGAATCTTTGGCATTGCTATCTTTAGTGCTTTAAATTAAACTATAACCCAAATTTTAGGGACTCAAAATGGAGTCCCTAAAAAAAATTTCAACCCCCCCCCTCAGAAAAATTCTGGGTGCGCCACTGGTAGGACTAAATAGATATATTAAATAATACAGGAACTAAGAGGTTTATTTCAACATACAACTACTTACAAAACTTATTATTTATAATATGGGCACTATTTAAGTCAGTTAAATTAGTTGATACTTAAGTGCAATTTTTATATCAATTTACTTATACTATTTTTTTAATTGTGAACATAAGTTATCTTGGTACACTGTTGAATTACAATTAATAGGGGTACCCATTTTAAAATCTCAAATCTTATAAGTGGCACTATTTTTTAAGCCATTATGTAGAATTAGGGAAGACTAAACATATTCCTGAAGATATGCAAGAGGTTCATTTAAACCTCATATCGAGCCCTTCCAGGAAAAACATTGTAACCAAAATTTTTTTAAATCTTTGATTTTTCATCAAAATTAATTCGAACAAAAAGCTTTTTCGTTGACCCAAACTTGGTAAGTCGCATGAACCCTGTTTTGACTTTAAAAATAGTGTTTTTATTGTTACCAACACAAGTCCGTTCAGAGGCAAAACCTTGTAACAGTGTGTATAAAAAATTGTTAGGTTACTTTTGCATAGTTTCGTTTTGCCTAACGCTGGGATTTACCGTCATGGCGCCGTCTCCTTTCGAAGGTTGGCGATACAAATGGCAATTGTAGTTTTGGAAACTGCTGCGCGAAAGATTTCTGCGGTTGAGCGGTCAAACCATCTCCTCAGGTCTTTCAGCCACAAGTTCTGGCGTCTTCCTACTGATCTTTTGCCCTGTACTTTTCCTTCCAGTATAACTTGAAGTAATTCATATCTTTCGCCTCTCAATACATGACTCAAGTATTGCATTTTCCTCTCTTTGATTATTCTTAGTAATTCTTTTAGTTTACACATGTGAAGAAGTACCTCAATATTAGTAACTCTTTGTAGCCATAGAATTCTCAACATTCGTCTGTATATTTACATCACAAAGGCATCTATTCTTTATTCTATTTCAGAGTTCATTGTCCAACTTTCACAGCCATACAGAAAGACAGAAAAAACGTAACATCTAATCATTCGGATTCTAAGCTGCAGACTAAGGTCTGATCTTGTAAAAAATGTTTTCATGTTCATGAATGTTTTCCTTGCTTGTTAGATTCTGTATAGGATTTCTTTTTTTGGATTCCACTGACTATTAATATTTACCCATAAACTATTTTATGGAATTTACCTGCACCCTTGGCATAAACATGTACGTTTATTGGTGTCTTTGAAAATACTAAAGGTTTAGTTTTGGAAACGTTTAGATGTAAACCGAACATTTCACTGTGGTGAACTACAGCATTTATTATATTTTGTAGTTCTTGTGCGTTGCTTGCTATTAAGACGATATCATCAGCGTATCTGATGTTTTCTATGCTGATTCCGTTAAACTTAATTCTGCCTTGGACCTCGTCTAATGCTTCTCTGAATATAGACTCCGAAGTGTGCTCTATGTCAATTGTTGCCGTTTGGTGCCAGTATAGTTCTGAGATAATTCGCAAGTCTTGTTCGTCAACTCCAGTTGTTCTCAGAATTTCGATCATCTTTTGATGGTTAACTCAGTCAAATGCTTTTCGATAGTCAATAAATTAACATTCATGTCTCTGCATCGTTGCGTTAACACATTTAACGCAAAAAGAGCCTCTCGTGTTCCAAATCCGTTTCGAAATCCGAATTGAGTGCCAGTCATCAGGAACTCGCACTTTTTGTAACTTCGCGTATGGATAATTCTGAGAAAAGTTTTAAGGACATGAAACATCAAGCTTAATATTCGATAGTCATCGTATGGTGAGGTTTTCGGTTTTTTTGGTAATGCTACGAATGTTGATTTACCTGTGTCATATATCTTATTGAATAGTGCTGTTATTAAGTCTAGGCTTTTACTTTCATTATCTGCAATTAGTGTTTCGATATTGATATTGTCTGGACCGGTGTCTTTTCCATCTTTCTGAGATTTTACTGCGTGAATCACTTCTTCTTTGGTTATATCTGGCCTTTTTCATTTATTCGATTATCTGTGGATGGTAGAAAACAATATCTATCATCGTCAAAAAGAGTGTGTATGTATTCTTTCCATCTCTCTAGTTTGTCTTCTGTGCCCATAATTATTTCGTTATTATCATTTTTTAATACTGTTGCTTGTCTCTTTTTGTGTGTTTTGGGTGTCGTATTTTTGCTGAAGTTGTTCGATTTCTAGACATTTTGTTGACATCTAGTGTTCTTTCTCATCCGTGCACTTTTTTCTAATGATTTGATTGATTGGCTTGTATTCTAATGGGCTTGGTTTTTGTTTTCGTCTTACGTACATGAGGTCCATGATATCTTCTATCCATTCTTGTTTTTTGTTGTGTTTTATGAACCCGATGTCTTCTTCTTGTATCTTTGTTATTTTTGTTTTTAGAGCAGTCCATGTTACTTCAATGTCTGTCTGTACCAAGTTTTCGATCTTTTTATTTCTTCCTCAAGCTTGATACTTATGTCTTTTTTCTGTTCAGGATTCTTCAGTTGTGAGATGTCTATTTCTCTTGTCACTCTTTTCTTTTTGACGTTGAGAAATCTTTTTAATATAAAATCCATTATAACTAGATTGTGATCGCTATGTATATCAGCTCCAGGGTATATTTTCGTAGGTTATATGTATTTCTTAATACCATTCTAAAAATTTATAAATCCATTTTGGGTAATTTTTAAAATTTTTAATAAATTTTATACCATTTTACTCAAGAAGTTTTTACTTCATAGTAAGTTTTTTAAGATTATGGTATACAGTCAACTACCGGGATTTTTCCTTATAAATTTTACACATTTAATTGTTTTTATCAGCTTTGGAGTATACATGATGGTTGTTGGCCTCAACTTCTCTGTAACTTCTTACAACATTTTGGTGTGCTTCCTTTCCAGTAAAACATGATCTGTCTGGTCTATATCTTGTCTATGGAACTACTGTCCTAATCAATTTTTTTAGAATGAAGTTTTTTACGCCACAAAACGTTTCGTTGTCTTAAGAGACTTAAAAATCCATATGGCTGAATGCACCGAAGAAACTGGATTCGAAGATAACGTTTTGTCGGTGAAGTATGTCCCTCTTGTCAGGAACGCAAATAAAATTGACGAATATTCGACAGAAAGCTCAGAAGAAGAATTTGAGTCTAACGTGAAAGACAGTGAGGTAGAAGCGGTAGCAGACCAGGTATGTATATGGCCGGAATTTACAGTTAAAATTCTTAATAAATCCATTTTTAAGGCTGACGCTTCTACATCCACCAGAAGCGAAAGAAGTAGAAAGAAACGACGGCATTCTAAGGATTCGAAGAATAATTCTAGATCAAGTTCTATAGATGCGTATGAAGATAACACTGACTATTACGCTCATGAACGTAAGATATTCGGGAAATTTAAGAATAACAAACGAAATCGATCCCAATCCCGTTCCTCAAGTCTTGGTAATTTATTACCTTTTCCAATGTCTTTACACATGTGAATTTCTTTAGTTTAGCCGTGTGGTCCAACTCCTTACTATAGTAGAAGTCACAGTTAGAATGAAGTGTTGATTTTACGGCGCGCAGCGGTGGTAATTTGGCGATAGACTGAGAAATCAGAACCGTACGCGCTTCGTTATATATATATATATATATATATATATATATATATATATATTTAACATACTGTATACATAAAATAAGTCTAATACCTCGTATATACTTATATACATATATAGAAAAAAATGCATGTAGTTTACCCTATACGACACGATAAATATAAATCTGTATATATATATATATATATATATATATATATATATATATATATATATATATATATATATATACATAACATACGCAAGAAGATCATAACTGAAATGTATTGTACGTACAGTACTAAAAAAGCAAAACGAGCATTAAATCTGAGACATTTCTGGTTAATTAATACTAATCACAATATATCTAAATCGTCCTCATCCTCTGAATCGTCTATATTAATTATCACCGGTTCAATGTTTGTCTGCAAATTGTCCATCGCAAACATTTTTTATTTCACTTACTTGACGTGGTTCACAATTATGCCACAGCTCTTTATATACGCGTTCTTCTTCTTCATGTACCATGTCCTTTCAGAACGTCGGTTAGCTGAAACGTTGGAGGCAGCTGCTCTGAACAATTGCCTTGAGCTGCAACGAAACCACTCTCTCAGGTTCTTCAACCAGGAAACGCGTCTTCTTCCTACACTTCTCCTACCCTCTATTTTTCCATGAATTACGAGTCTCAATACTTACTTATCCACAAAGTGTTTTTCTTGCGAAATAGTGTATGTGTGAATCGAGTGTCATTAGAAAATTGTGAACTAAATCGAGTTTTTTAAAAATCATAACGAGTAACCTAAATAAACAATCAGCGCTGCTAGCTCCGATCTGTTGAAGAGGCAAGTAGTGCGGTATGGGGAACCTTCACGATAAGGACAATAATTAGTGATTATTTACAAAACAATACATAGGCGTGTAAGTGAGAATTTTAACGTCAAAACACTGTCCAGAATAAGGTAAGAGATTTATAATATTTTTAACAATATGGCCGCGAGAAGAGGATTAAATCAATGGGATAGTGAAGAATCTGACGATGGTAAGAGAAAGAGAGAGGAAAAAAAAAGAAAACGACCAAGATGAAAACCCTTTCATGAAAAGCAGAAAGTTAACTAGGTCTCCACCTAAGAAAGATTGCGATAATACCGAATTGAAAGAAATGATGATCGCTCTTATGAACGAAGTTAAAGGAATACGAAAAGACCAGCAGATTTTTCAAGAAGAAATTAGCAATTTAAAAAAGAAAATCGCGAGTTGAACGGAAAGGTAAATTTCCTGGAAAGCAGGATCGAAAAGATGGATAAACAAATCCGGAAACAAAACATTGTGATCAAAGGACGCGATTTCAAAGAAAATGAGGAACTGGAAGATGCCACCAACTTTATAGCAAGTCAATTGAATGTGAATGTGAAAATAAAAGATGTGCAGAAAATAAGAACCTCTCAAGGGAAACCACCAGTGGCGATAGTAAAAGTAGATACAATGAAGGATAAAGAGCTTATTATGAAGAATAAGAGCAAATTAAGAGGAACGCGGTATTTCATTGAAAACGATCTAACCCAAGCCGAAGCCAAACTACAGAAAGAGCTAAGAGATATGGCGAGAGAAGAAAAAGGAAAAGGTAATGAAACAAAAGTCGGCTATCAGAAAATATGTATAAACGATGAATGGTTTAAATGGAACCATAGTACCGAAAAACTAGAGAAAATGAAAAAAACTGAGTCTACACAGGCACAGTGGTCAGGAAAATATGGAAACGAATAAAGCGCGGAATAGGATGATGATAGGACAATGGAATGTTAGAGGAACTTTTGAAGTAGGAGCACTAAAGAACTTATCAGATACGTTAGAGAAATATGAGATAGATATTGCAGCTATACAAGAAACTAAACAAAAAGGAAATTTTACCATGGATGTGGGGAACTACGTGTTTTTCAACAGTGGAGACAATGAACGTGTATTTGGGGTGGGATTTTTTATAAAGAAAACATTTGCCAATCTGATGATAGATTTTGAGGCAGTCACAAGCAGATTATGTAAAATAAGAATAAGAGGAAAAATATAGAAAAATAACCTTTATAAATGTGCATGCACCAACAGAAAATACAGATGAAGACGTTAAAGATAGCTTTATGAACAATTAGAACATATGTTTTACAAAATACCATCATATGACATAAAAATAGTTGTAGGAGATTTGAATGCCAAGATTGGCAGGGAGGATGTATACAAACAAATAACAGGGGGAAAAAGTAAACATAGAGATAGTAATCTGAATGGAAAAAGAGTAATAGAATTTGCTTTCGAACACAATATGCGAATTATGAGCACTTATTTTGATCACAAAGAAATTCATAAAGGTACCTGGATATCACCAGATGGACAAACAGTAAACCAAATAGATCATTTCCTAATAGAAGCCAAACATATGAGAGCCATAAAAGATAGCCGAAGTTACAGAGGTGCTGATGCAAATTCGGACCACTTTTTGGTCAAAATTAAAATGGAGCAAATAATACCCACAATTAATACCACTAGTTGTAAAAAAATAAAAAGATATAACGGTGCACTACTTCAGGAGGGAGAAGTTAGGAAAAAATTCAGGCAGCAAATTGAAGAGAAACTGAAAAGGCAGACAACAGTAAATGATATAGAAAGCAGATGGGTACAACTAGAAGAAAAAATTCAAGAAGCAGCCGACTCAGTATTATCAAGAAACAGACAATATAAACAAACGGATTGGTATGATGAGGATTGTAAGAAAGCCATTAGTGACAGAAATAAAGCTAGAATAAATAGCATAATAAGAAATAATGAAGAGAGTAAAAAAGCTTATGCCGAAAAAAGACGGGAAGCAAAGAAGATCTGTAGAAGGAAGAAGCGTTCAAGTTTAGAGCAGAAACTAGTTTGTATTGAAGAAGATTTTTTACATGAACAAGTCAGGAATTTCTACCAAGAAATAAAACGAGACCGAACCCAGTACAAAACCACATCAAGATATTATAAAGATGAAGAGGGGAATCTGTTAGGTGGAACAGATGAAAAATTAAGAAGGTGGGCCAGTTATTTTGAGAACATATTATTATGTACGGACGACCAAGATGAAAGAGAACAAACGCAACTACAACATGAAGAAGTAAGGGACACAGATGTAAATAAAGAAGTACCTACCAAGGAAGAAATTATAGAGATCATAAAAAACTTAAAAAACAACAAAGCACCTGGTGAAAATGGTATCATTGCTGAGTTTTTAAAAGAAGGTGGCGAAATGGTACAAGAAGAAATCGCTGAGTTAATACGCGAAGTGTGGATCAAAGAAAAAATACCCAATCAGTGGAAAGAAGCAGTCTTATGTCCAGTGCATAAAAAAGGAGACGTCACAGAATGTAAAAATTACAGGGGAATAGCTCTACAAGATACAGTGTATAAGATTTTGGCCATATCAATTAGAAATAAAATTAAAACAAAAGTTGAAAATTGTCTAGGTGAATATCAAGCAGGTTTCAGAGCAAACAGATCGGTAACTGACCAAATTTTTACAATGAAACAAATTTTAGCTAGCTCATATGAATTCAACCTAACAGTACACATGCTGTTTATTGATTTTAGAATGGCATATGATACTATAAAAAGAAATAAAGTATATGAAGCACTAGAATATTTTGAATTTCCACCAAAAATAGTCTTCTTCTTCTTCTTCAGCCTGTTTGCATCCACTCCTGGACAAAGGCCTCCCCATGAGTTCTCCACTCTTCCCTGTTTTGTGCTATTTGGTGCCAGTTTCTCCCCATTTTTGCTTTGATGTCGTCTAGCCATCGTTTTTGTGGTCTTCCTCTACTCCGACTGTGTTCGCGTGGTCTCCAATGTACAATGTTTTTCGTCCATCTGTCGTTGTTTTGCCGTGCCACGTGCCCTACCCAGTTCCATTTCATTTGTGCAATTCTTCCAATTACATCTTCCACCTTCGTCCTGCTTCGTATGTCCTCGTTTCGTATATGTTCTCTCAGTGATACTCCCAACATAGCTCGTTCGATGGCCCTCTGTGTTGTTCTTAATCTGTTGGCTGACAACTCTGTAAGTGTCATGGTCTCCATTCCATAAGTCATAACCGGTAGAATACAACTGTTGAATACCCTTTTCTTTAGATTTATTGGTATCTTTTTGTTCTTCAACACATCACTGAGTCTGCCTACTGCTGCCCAAGTCATTCGGATTCTTCTAGTTATCTCTGCTGTTTGATTCTGTTTGCCTAGTTTGATGGTGTGACCTAGGTATATATACTCTTCGACACTTTCGATCTCACTTCCATCTAAGTCGATTGTGATATTTTGATTTGTCATTACTTTTGTTTTATTTAAATTCATTTTTAAACCGATTTTTTTCAGATTCTTGTTTAAGCTCCTTCAGCATGTAGATTAGTTCCTCTGTATTGTTGCTTATGAGTACTATGTCATCGGCAAATCTTAGGTGGCTTAAAAACCTGCCATCAATTTTAATTCCGAGTTGTTCCCAATTTAACTTCTTGAACACATCTTCTAATGCAAGAGTAAATAATTTTGGAGATATGGTGTCTCCCTGTCGAACACCTCTTTCTGATCTTATTTTGTTGTTGTTAGGCCTTCTGCTACATTTATTTGCATAGTTGCATTGTCGTATATGTATTTTAGGAGCATTCTATATCTGGAATCTATCCTTGCGTTGTTCATTCCGTCTAATACTGCCCAGAATTCTATGGAATCGAATGCCTTATTGTAATCCACAAATGCCAAATGAAGAGGTTCATTGTATTCGTTACATTTTTCAATAAGTGTCCTTATTGTCTGTAGGTGTTCTATTGTACTATAACCTTTGCGGAAACCCGCTTGT